GTCCAGAGGTGATTTTTTTTTCATCCAGCACCAGCAATAAATATGCCACATTAAATAAATACTATTCTGCGTAAAGAAAGTCTTAATTTTTAGACCCTATGCATTGGTTTCTTTGCTTCTCCTGGGCAGATATTTGTTTCTTTACTTCATAAATATAAAAACCAGTCTTGAAGTTGGTCCCAATCATCTTTAATATTAGAATAAGGTAATTTTTTAGGACTCCTTTGTGATTTGCCTTATCATATCTTCGCAAAATAGGTGCTAAGTAGGAAAATTGCCAATCTCTCGTCTGCACTTTAGTAGTTATTTCTTTCTCTGCCTATTATTCCACATTTATCCTCACTTACAAAACACCTTTTACATTCTTTCTCTATTTGCATAGCTATATCATCATAATATTGTTCACGTGAGAAATTATCTCTCCTGCTCATGCTTTTCTCTATATCCTCATTTCCTTTTAAGCCTGTTTGCTGGCTCTATGTAATTTCTTTGTGCGTCTATGCACTCTCAAGCTTAATCTGATCCAGGAAGTACTGTTAGCAAAATTAACATATGCAAAGCTATTCTCCTGATATTTCTGGCCTATGTGAAAGTGGAAAGTGTTGGAAAAAAGCCAGCAGAGTCTATAGCTGACTCCTAGACTCAAAAGGGCTGGTAGGATTAACATTTGAAACAAATTTAAAACCATTTGAATGTCACCTAATACAAAAGTAGATGAAATATAGTACTTTCTTTTGCCTCTTAAAAGTTCTTATGAGTATTTTCTTTGGCTTTGTTTCATGTAGAATTGCAGTAGCATCTCTTTGTTATGGCTGTGGCGGTTAATCAGACCTATATTCATTAGGATTTTTACAAGAATCTATTTTACATACTTATATTTCATTTGTTTTTGTCTATGAAAGGTGTTTAAGCTTAAACAGTTCCCAGAAGGAATTTTAAAGAAAATACTAGGACATAAAAATAAATAGTACTGAAGAGTAATTTTGATTTCAAATCTGTGAGTGTGCAAAGTACAAATATACTTGTAAGAGTCATATTCAGTCAGGAATTGGAAATCATCTATGTAAATTGTATGTCCAAGCACAAATAATCAAAACAGCTCTGATTTTGTATATCAAACACACAGCATATCTTTTGAACCTTTTTACAAGATAATGATTATTTACAGAAATTATCCTATGAATAACTTAGGGGAACAGATACTCAAATGAATTATAAGCTATTTTTGTAAGTGTTTTAGCTGAAAAGAGACAAAACGTATTGGCCTTTATCAAAAAATATTTGTCTGTTTTCAATGAATGTAAAGCAATGACGTTTTTTGCCCTGTTTTGCATTAAAATATTAAGATGAGCTTTGATACAGGATCATAAATCATCCAAAACTCATCTGAAAGCCTGCGTAGGCTTATGAACTTTAAAGATCTTTTTAATGAAACTAGCTGAATTCCAAATTGAAAACCACACGCAAATCTAGGTTTCTTGTTATTTTAGTTTACACGCTAATCACATTCATCTTTTCTCAGCTATCAAATACACTATGTTGTGTCATGCCCTTAAATCTGCCCCATTTAGAAAGCAAGAGAAAAATTCAATGTCTCCTCCGTAGAAGACTACCACCCCTTTTGAAATAAAGGGTGATAAAGGGGAAATTTTTGTATAGCAAACGTATTTCCAGAAACGGACTCCAGCCTATGACAGAACGTGAATATGTTGACACAGTTCAGCCTTGTCATGCTTTGTATTTGATCTGAACAACACTCATTTGAAATGGTACATTACTTTGTTACATAAAAAGCAAGAACTCCCTAATTATGATTACCCGCATTATATTCAGGGAAAATACAGCAGCAGATGTATATAGTATCTTTTGTCTCCTTGGTTTTAAATGACAAAAGGAAAGAGCTATAAATGCTTCAAATAAATGTTCAAACACTTAAACATAAATAATTTCTTAAAGCACATGTTTTTTCTTGAGCAGCAGCATTTAGCCCTAATGACGTTTGTGGCAGGAGCACAGATGATACGTATGGGTTGGGATTTTTTTTTGTTTTTCTAAAGGGATATTATTCCTGCGTGACTAGTAAGCATGAGAAATAGAAATAAAATCCACAGAAAGCGTTTCAGTTTCATTTAAAATGTCACACAGTTGCCTCTATTATTCCCGCTGGCTTGCAGAAAGAAAGTCCTCTTTGTTAATAACAGCAGCACAACTCATCCCATTATAGTGCCTCTAACCTAATAAATCAGATATTTGCACATTTCTCCTGCACGCTCTTTTGCTCTTCCAAATAGCATTTTGTTCTCATGGCCATAAACTCTAGCGCGGAATAGGCGTTGCAGCTGGATACTTTAGGAAATATGAATGAATGGAAAGGCCTGTGTCTAATTCCTCACAGCATGGAGGGCTAGCCGAAAATATCCATGAGGTGGAGATGATGTGAGGTCCTGTCTCCTGTTCATGCCTGTGTATAGTGCTCAATAATGCTACCATAGCAGTAAGGCCTGAAAGTCTGTTTTGGAAGGCCAGTAATAGGTGCCCTAAGGATATTGTGATGGCTCCTATTCTGTCAGTAGCAAAAGCGTGCACTTACAAAGTGGGCAAATACTGAGGTGTTTAAATAGCCCTCTGAAATCCCTTAGAAGACCTAAGTATCCTATCGGTAAGACTTACAGAGCCTTCTGCTGTCAAGGATCTGTACAAGCAGCCATACATTTATTATTAAAATGCTTCCTCTGGCAGTTTTACTAGGGTTCATTCATGTATCTCTAAACATGGGAAATGGAATAGTTGCTAGGGCTGTTGGAGAGACAGTGTCATAAAACTCACTTAAAAATTGTCAGAATCTTAGTTGTTTTACCAAAGGAAAAGGGAGATGCACGCTGATGGTATGGTTTCTTCCAGGCAGTAGGGTGAGTTAGAAGTTATCATAGGCTCCTGGGCTTCAGTAACGTGCTCAGTGCGTGAGGTCAAACTGCTTTTTCTGATCAGAGCATACTTAGGAAGAAAAACTGTGCTAGTATGAGTCCTCTGACTTACCGCATGAGAAGGTTCGGTTGGTGCCATCTTCCCAATTGGTGCATGCAAGCCATCACCTAGTTTTTTTTTTCCTAACACAGATAAGGGGTACAAACATTTCATTACACTTTAACAGGCTGCTTTGAAAAAGGTAGAAAACCCACAAAAGCTGTATTATACAGGCCACGAGTGTGCATCCAAAGGAGAATACGAAAGAGGCTACGCAGGAGCCCTGATTATTGGAAGGGGAGAAGAAGAGTGTCATGAGTGGCCTCAGCACAGGACAAGGCTGAGCAGCCCTGGAAGCAGCTCAGCCAAGCTTCCTGAAGGCAAGGAGGAAGGATGGAGCTGGGAAGGGAACACTTTGGGGTGAAACGGTGGCTTTACTGAAGTCAGCGACAAAACCAGAGCGAAGGAGGACCCAGGGAGGTCAGTGTTTCTTTGGAGGACTTGTGTGAGGAAGAGATTTATAGTGGGGTTTTGAAGGGTCATTCTGCTTGGCTCTGCTTGGTCAACCAGTAGGAAATTACACTACTTTGTGGTTATTTCTGCTGTAAATTACTCGGCTACTCTTGGCGCTTGGTGTGCTGAGAAAAGCAGCATCCCCCTCACTCCCAGCAAACGAACCCATCGTATTTGCTCTCCACTTGCTCACAGAAAGTAGGAATGAACAGCCCATATCCTTGGTTAGCAAGAGAACGCGTGGCAGAGGGGGAGGTAAGCTGCAAACTGCTTACGGTGGGCAGATTTGTTGGGTTTTTTTAGAGCTGTTTTGCATAGTGCATGCTCCCCAGCCCCTTTAGTTCAGTGTACTCAGAAAAGATAACTGTGAAGGCTTTCTTGTTATGGTGAAAATAATGGCGTTATTTAAACGCAGTCATATTCTGCGCTGCTTGTTTGCGGCAGCCCGGGGTGTCCTTTCTGCTGAGTTTCTTTTGCTCGCCAGAACCTGGTCCTGCTGCCATAAAATACCTGACAGTTTTACCACCGATTTATTGTTGAAGCTGGATTGGATCCTAAGAAAAGGTTATTTTTGCCTACCTACAAATAACTGCCGTCTGTTCTAAAAGATTTCTACTAACAAAATGGAGAATTAATTTCTGTGTAAAATACGAGAGGAAACACTGTTGATAATAACTTGTATGTGAACCTTCACAAGATAGAACTGTGCAGGTAACGTGAAATAAGTATGGCATTAAATATGCTAATAAGATAATGCCATGTTAGATTGGAAGGCAAAGAGGTACAGTAAGCCTCCAAATATCTCCAGGATGAACTACATGTTTCCAGGAGCCTGGACATTACCTATAAAGGCATTTTTTTCCCAAAGTATATATACTGTTTACATTTCATGAATAAGATTAATTGAGCAGTATGGGCCATATTATTTCAGATGCCCGAAGTCAAAGGTGCAAACTTTGGAATTGGTCACAAAGGCAGATAAAAGTATGATTCAGGAGAACACAGAGGAATTGTATTTCCTCTGTAGAGACTCCCTTGTTGAATCATGCAGAAACTATTGATTATATTTCAAAGGTGTTTTTTTTTTAAATACATGCCACTGACTTCATCTGTCTAGAGCTGTCTAAACTTCAAACAGATTTGGGAAACACAGTAGATAAAAGGAACGTATGAGAAATAAATTATGTCACCAAACTGGCAAAAGTCTTTCCCCCAAAAGAGGAGTCTTTTCATAGAAAAAGTATCCTTTTCCCTGCTTATTGATAATCAGGAAGTTTACACATAGGCTATATTTATCTAAATAGATAATTTTAAATGAGCGTTGCAATATAATCATTTTAAAATTCTATGTAAGAATCTGTCAGTTCTGGCAGATTATTGTGGAAAAAATGCCTTGCTTTTTGATTTGAATGTGTTATTAGCGTTTGCTAATTTAGAGTTTTCTATTCTGAATACGTTCACATCTGCAAAACGTTGATATGTGCCTCCCATATTTTTTCTGATCACATCCACGGAAAGATATGAAGAACCATAAGGAATCGAAGCTGTACTGTACGGTGTTCATTGTTCGCGATTAAAGACAACTCCAACAGTGTGTTGCACTGAGCCAATAGCTTCAAGGTAAGGAGGATATCCTGGGCAGCTCTATACTCGAGTCTCTGCTTAAAGTTGGGCAAAACAGTGATTTGAAAGCAGCTTGCCAGGTGGCAGCCCTTCTCACCAAGCCCCTGGGGGTGAGGTGAGATGAGATGTGAGCAGCCTCAGCTGTCTTTTTGTGAGGGGGCTAAGCCAGGCGGTGTGCTCCGATGTCTCCGCTTGAACCTCATACAAGCCTGCATCTTAAAACCATTGCAGGGTGCTGTTCCTGAAACAGCTACATACTGTTATTTGCACAAACAATAACCAGTTTGAATAGATAAATTAGAAAACTGTGATCTCCAAAACTTATTCTTGATTCAGAGAGGCGATATGTTTCAAAGAATTTATTCACATTAGCTGATTTTGGCTAAAGATTCCCAAGATATTAACGGCAGAACTAGGAATGAAAGCGATGTAAAAGCTTTAAAAAGGCCATAATGGTCAAAGGTCCATCTAACCCTGTGTCTCATCTCCAGCAACGATCAGAAACAGGTGCTTAAGGAAATAGCGTAAGAACAGGGCGAGCATATCTAATACGTATGCCTTTCCCACTTGTTGCCATAATTGCCATAATTCTAAGTAGAAGGAATTTTTTCTTAGCTGATGATAGCCTATTCTGATCATAACTCCATCACCTTCATGAAATACTGGAAACGCTCAAATTGTTGTCAGACCCCACTAATAAAGCAAAAAAAATTCCATTAATTAAAGAATGAAAAGAGAACAGTGAAAAGACCATAGGATTTAAATGAAATATAATGGAATTTATTTCTGAGTGGGAAGGAATTTATTTAAAAAATGCAGTAATCTGAGGGTGAAGGCTTCCTCTCACAGCACCATGTGGGAATAATGAGTTTCCTGTAAGGGGGAATATCTGTAAACTATGCCATCCTAGCTTGATTGTTTTTTTTATGTTACTAAACATCCATTTTCAGGGCGATTAGTATTGGGGAATTATTTCATCAGCATTATCCTAGAGCGCCTGGTTGGATGGAGGAGGTGGCGGGGGAGAGGAAACGCGCAGCAAAGAGCGCAAAGGGAAAAAGAGCTTCTGCTCTGTGCAGTTACAGGCTCTCCGGGGACTGTTTGTCTGCCAAATGTTTCCTAAATTCCCGACTCTATCCTTTAGACGCTCAAACGTTAAGAGGCGGCTCGTAAAAAGAATAACAGTGATGCTGTGCTGGGGCTGCGCTGACTCGATGCGTCTGTGCTGGTGGTTCTCCTGTTTATTTGACATGGTTGACTTAGGACGTCTTGGTCACGGCTTGTTTTTCCAGCCCGGCTCTTCATCCTGGCAGATTTGCTTTCAAGTGCCAGCCACCTTTGTGAAGCTACCTTTAGATCTGCTTTTAGTGAAGCAGGTGGGGAGGGAAGCTGACAGGCAAAATTGCAGTGTTATCAGAAAGCCATGCGCTTGTGTGCTCTGCGAGAGGCACTACTTCAAATGCCTTTTCACTGACAGGTTTAAAATGCAACGTTTGTTCTTAGCCTTTGTTGGCTTAGTTCGGCTGTTTTTCTGTTTTAAAAAGAAAAAAGGTGGCCGTCTCACCCTCAGATCCCCTCATATGTAATCTGCTAAACTACCAACTGGATCCAAGCGAGTAGATTTTGTGTAT